AAAAAAAAAAAAAAAAGAAAAAAGAGCAAAAGCAAAAGGTGCGGAAGCACAAAGAAAGGTGTCACTCTATACTAATTGCTTCAAACAGCATGGGGAGTGACAGTAACTAGATAAGATTCAATTTTAAAATCATTTTTTTAATGTGTTTCGAATCTATTAATATACATTTATTCATTTAAATAATTGACAATAATTAAGAGTGTACTCTTAAAATTATTTAATAAAAAATTTGAGATAAACTTATTATTGTCAACCATGTCAATGATATCATGTCATGCCCTTTGGGATTAAACTCATCAAATTCACCAAATGAAACAACATTTGTCACGTAATTTATGAGTGTTGGTAGGGGTGGGCAAAAACCGTTTTTGGTTGAAATCAAAATTGGTTTTAAAATAATCAAAAAAAAATTTTCTTAAATTTTGAGAATCAAAACTAAACCAACATTATTACAAACCGATTAATTCGGTTATCAATAAAATTGGTTCGGTTTTTATTTTTACTAAATAAATATTAATCAAATTTTTAATAAAAAATTATATTTTATTTCATATTTTATCATATTTATTTAAATTTTGATTTTTATGACTCATTTTTTGTTTTTAATTTGTGAAATTGTTTTCAGTTTGTGAAAGATTCAACCAAAATCAAACAAAAAATTATTCAATTAATATCAAAATGAAAATAATTAAATTTAAAAGTCATTAAAACCAAACTAAATTCACTTTTTTTATTCAATTTCTGAGTAATCATTCGGTTACTCACCCAAATGCCCACCCATAACCTTAAGAGTCATATGAACCAAAAAGGGCAAAAAGGAGCCTAAATTCTCGAAGTTCTAAGCGCAAGGTACATATTGATTTAATCATTTATCATATGGAAGTTGCTAACAAAATGTTTGTAGTACTACTTTTAAGGCGTGCCCCGACAACTGAAACTTATGCACCAATACCATGCCATGCTCGCGCGCGCAAGCAAGCAAGGGCTTTTTGAGAATTGACAAGTCGACAAAATGAGTGCGCACCAAATATCCCCTTTTGATCTGTCAACCAAAAACTCTCTCTACTTTTCTTTCTCCTTTTCCAATTTTCACCGTCCTCTTTTTATAATATATATATACATGTGGTTCGTGTCTCTCACTGTTTTGGCATTTTCCTTTTCTGATATTTTCATCATATAAATATATAATTCCAAATTATAAGATTTTTTTTTTTCTCTGAAAGAGTTTTCTTCAACAATACTTCTACAGACTTTGAAAATTAGACATACAAATTTTGATACAAGATAAAAACTAATTAATAATTCGTAATAAATAAAGTAGTAGCTCAGATCTTATAAGATGGGCTAATAATAGATTTTTCAAGCCTGTTTCTCAAGAATGGACAGGTTTCTCATGAATGGAGTCTAAGTTTTGATGGTATGTAAAAACTAAGTATAATAGATTTCAATACAAAACTTACTATCAATCTGAAACAATTGATTATATGTGAAGCAATTTTTTTAAAATTTAGTTTACATATTTTTTATTATATATTTGATGTAAAATTTTTTTATTCAACACAAACTTTATTAAGAGATATTGATTATGCTAGCTCAATCAACCCCCAAAAAATAAAATAAAATATTGAAGACTTTCATTCAAATATCAAGAGAAGGTTCAATAGCTTAACTAAGTCTCTAATTGGGTCCAAAACAGGCGCAAGACCACGGAACATCTTGAATTATTCCATAAAAAGAATATGAGATCAAATGGAATAATTGGTTAGGCTTGGGGGAACCATATTCCTTGACACTGTGCAATTTGCTGGGGATATTTGGAAGAGAATATACTGGTCAGGAAAAGGTTCTGATATATTTGCTGCATAGATACCATTAATTACACAAGTTGCAACTAATACCAGAATGTAAGAGTATATTTTTTTTCTTTAATTTAACAATTTGTACAAGTAGCTTTCATATATTGACAAAGAACAATAAAAATCTTATTCATCCATAAAATCAAGGATTTTATTTTTAGTTGAATTTTTACAACTGATAAAAAAAGTCTAAGATAAAAATGTATAATTTAAGAATCTATAACACAAGTTTATCAACATTGTAGAATACTAGTAAATGAAACAAAATATCTACCATATCTAAAAATGGAAAATAATGAAGTGCCCTACACTACATTTTATGTGAATTGATGTACATTTTTTATTTTAAAATGAGTAATTCATCTACTCATTTAATAATGTGACTATTTTAAGACTTTATTCTACTATTAAGTTGTTATAAAATCACTTGCTTTTTTTTTTTTTTTGTATGAGAAAGAACTTGCTAAAATAATTGCAAAGGTTTTGTAGCACTAATTTTCAGTATAATCGTTGGCTGCCTTTTGAAAAAAAAAAGTATAATAGTTGGCCACAAAGGAAAAGAAAAAATTATAATCCAATGAGATGATAGAAAATTAAGATATCATGATAATTAAAATACTAAAATTTCTTATGAAATTATTTAAATATTTTTAATAAATCATCATAAAAAATATTTACTAAAATTATTTAAATAATTTTATTAAAAATATTTAATATTTTAAATATCAAAATATATTCTAATTTTTACCTTTTTTTTAAATTCAACTGTGCATTTAATTACTTGTAAAAAATGGCTAGATTAAGAAAAATTACTAGCTATATATGAAAAACAAAAATTATTTTATAATTTAAATAATATTAATTTTTAAAATATAAACTATTAAATAAAAGATATTCGCCTCAATATTAGACCTACCCCCTTCTAGTTCTTTTGGATTGGACTGCAAAACTACAGTATTTTGGTATGATAAAACCTAGTCCACGCGCTTAACGCGGAAGGAGACAAATGCCTTGTGTTGTCTGGATATTGAGGCATCTTCCTGTAAGATGCCACGAAGGTCACTCGTAACTCGCCGGTTGTTTGAATTTCAAAATCCGCGTCTCCCATTTCTTTTGTTGCCTTTTTCAACCGTTTCATCTTTTACATCATGTCGTTTTAAAAAACTGTACTAGTCAACGGATCATTGCGGGGACGTTCCCAGACCCCGTCTTCCGGTCCCAGCCTTTCCAGCCATGGTACGAAGTAGTCCTTCAATTATTTTCGATTAGTTCATTCACCTTAAATTGTCTCAATTGGGTTTCTAATTTTAACTCCCAAAAAAAAAAAATTTTTTTGAGTTTCTAATTTTCACGGATACATGACGCATAAAGTTAGTGTGGGTGCATAAAGGAGTTATATGTTCAAATTAATACTAAAAATTAATGATGTAGGGTTGAATTAAATAATTTGAATAATTAACAACTACTCGAGGTGTACTTGTTAGTGGTAAATTTGTTTTCATTGCTCGTAGTAAAATATTAAGAGATTTTAAATAATAATGTAACCTGAACGATCTAAATAATTTAGTAATTTTTTTTTATTGAAATTAAAAAACGATCTAAATAATTTAGTAATTTTTTTTATTGAAATTAAAAAGTATTGAGTTCGAATAATAAGATATACAATTGAAGTGAGACAAAAGATTTGAGATTGTTGTTTCTTATTGTATAATTAAAATCAAAAAAATAATAACGTAAAAAGAGTGTTTTCTTTTTTTAACATTTAAACTATTGTATTATAAAAATAAAGTTTTTAATAAAAAATAAAGACTCAATAATTAAGATTTTAAATTTTAAAATTTTAAATTTAAATTCAAGTTTTAAGTTTAATGTAAAAAATTTAAAAATAAAAAAAATTATCATTTTTTATATAACTTATTAATATATATATATATACAATGAAAACAAAGTATTTAAATAAAAAAATAATTTCTAATATTAAAAATTTTATTATTTTATACATATATAATTTAAAAATTAATTTAATATAATTCAAACCTCCACCAGATCCGCAGGACTCTACAAGAATGAGGCATGAAATAGATAAGGTTAAAATCTCATTTTGGCTATTAAACTATTGTACCAATTTTTTATTTGGGTCTTAAACTCAAAAAATCTTTGATTTAACCTCTACTATTTATCATTTTTATCCCGAATTAATCATTTTGTTAAAAATTACATGACATGTACTGTTAATTCATAGTAAAATGATGACATGCCAAAATATTACCCTACATGTAAGACAACATGACAAAAAATAATGACATGAAAACAAATAATAATATAACAAAAAACTTAAAAATTTTTTTTCTTCTCCTTTCTTTTTCTTTCCCCTTAGGATCTGGGTTCATCGGCAAAAAATTAAAAAAAAAATTTGTGTTTTTGTGGTGTTGTTTGATGGTGATGAACTAATTGATGAAGAAGCCGGATTGATCGAGAAGAAGGCGAGCAAAGGAAGAGGGAAGAGAAAGGAAAAGATGAAGGAGAAAGAATTTTTAAAATTTCTATTGTCAAATCATTATTTTTTTGTCAGTTGACTTTTTATGTGCACATAATGTTTTGACGTGTACATTAGGTTTCTATTACTCAATGAATACGTGGGTAGATTTTTAATAGAAGGATCAAATTGAGGTAAAAATGATAAACAATAAGGATCAAATTAGAGATTTTTTGAGTTTATGAAACAAATTAGAGGTTTGTATAATAATTTAGGGACCAAAATGGGTTTTTAACCAATAGATAAAGACGTTTAAGAGTTTACCATAAATATTTAAAATAAAAAAATATTAAAAATTGGCAATAATTCGGGAACCAAAATCCTTTCTTTTATTAAAGAAGTCCGGCTCCTCTTTACTCTGAAATTTTCATTTTTCACTCTCTCTCTTCAAAGACTCCGCTTTCTGGATCTGTAATAATTATGGAAATCGTGTCAGATACGTCGCCGACGGCGAGGCCATCCTACTGGTGCTACAACTGCACCCGTTTGGTTCAGGTTTTGTCTCTGCAAGATAGAAACGGCGACGGCGTCTCTTGTCCCTATTGCGATGGAGGATTCATCGAGGAGATAGACTCAGTCAATCACACACATCAGATTCCGACCGTGTACGTCATAGCTGGTAACAGTGGGACACATCACGATTCCCATCTCTCCAGACTCCTAGGATTCCGCCGTAATAGGCGGGGCGCCGCTGACCGGTCAAACTTGAATCACATCATCGTCCTGCGTGGTTCGCCCGACTCGGAAGACGACAACAACAACGCGTTCGAGTTTTACCGTAACGATGGGTCCGGGTCCGGCCTGCGACCGGTACCGGCGTCCGTGTCGGAATCGTTGATGGGTTCGGGTTTCGATCGGATACTCGAACAGCTGTCGCAGATCGAATTGGCAGGATTCGGGCAACTTGGGAACCAGCCAGCATCCAAATCCGCAATCGAATCGATGCCGACGGTGGAAATAGAATCGACACACGTCAGCTCCGAATATCACTGTGCTGTCTGTACGGAACCCTTCGAGCTTGGAATCAAGGCTCGGGAGATGCCCTGTAAGCACATATACCACGAAGACTGCATCATCCCCTGGCTCTCAATTCGAAACTCGTGCCCCGTTTGCCGGCACCAGATGCCGGCAGATCACAGTGAAGAAAATGGGTCGGATAGTATGGGGTCGGTGGGGCTGAGCATATGGCGGTTGCCAGGTGGCGTGTTTGCGGTGGGGAGATTCAGGGGAGAGAGAGAAGCGGCAGCGCCGGTGACGTACAGTGAGGCGGATGGTGTAGACGATGGCCCGAGGAGAGTTTCGTGGATCGGGATTCGGCGGAGGGAGAGCAGATTTAGGAGGGTTGTTAGAAATCTTATTTCGATTTTTAGGTCGAACGGCGGTAGGGGTGAATCTCGGTCGATTCGCCGTAGTAGATGAATTTTTGGAAGTCAATGAGAAAAAAAAAAAAAGGAAAAGAAATTCATTATTTTGCCTTTTTCAGTT